CGCGGTCCACGAAGATAACTTTATGTAATGCCACAAAGGAATTTGTGCGAATCTTTATGCATTAACGGGCTTAAGATAGCACACTGGTTAGGAAGCAAACTTACTGACCGGTAGGCTCACGGTTCGAACCCAGCCCGGCATCTTGATTGCTCTTGTCTAGGCTTAGAAAGCCTAGTGGTGTCTCAAATGCCGAGCCCCCATATGGTAGCATTACAATTAAACACCCAAAGATTGTCACGGCTGAACAATCATTTATTTATCATATTTCTTTGTGTGCCAATATTTTCAAAAGTCGACCAGGAGTTAACATATTCCCCCAGGCTGAATGTTACCTTGCTCGTAACTGAGTAACTGAACACAACGTAATTTAGAGGACGGCTTTAATAATGTTCGTCATGGCTTGGAATAACCAATATAGTATTGAGATCGGCACACACAGAAACGACACGACTATAATGCCAATCCTGAACAGCTGATGTAATACCACGCACTTCCCGCTTTTTGTGGCGTAAATAAGAAAAAAGGAGTGTTTTGTAGTGTGCATTCTAACTTCACAAAGGTTTATACTAGGAAGAAATGATTACAATAAGTTAGGAATGAAGCAACAATATTGCGAAAACATCACAGATAGATTGGTCAAGTTTACGTTCAAATAACAAGCAGAAATAGTTCAGGTAATCAGCTGATATTGAGCGATTCGTTTATCCACCAATGGGGATGATTCAGACGTTAAAGTTCGGTAGAGTCATCTGTCAGTGAGTTCAAGACAAATTGAGTGGGCATGTTCTCGTCCCGAAATTCGCTTCGTTAATATGTCTCTCCAACTGTTCCGCTTTTCGCATTATCAGACGTGACACACCTTTGGCATACTTGACCGCCTCTTTTGCTACTTCCGAATTGTGAAGGAAATAGGTAACATCATCCTGAAAAAAAAATAAATGAATAAGACAGTTTTACCTACAACATTATAGTACATTTGTTGCGTTTATTCCATCCTAGTAAAGAAAACACCTTTGCGGTTGATTATATGTCCCTGTTTATTTGACATTTACTCTTAGTAAAGAGGTCGACAAATGCGTTCTGAGGATGAAAACAATTGCAGATCTGTGCATCAACAAAGAATGTAGATTCTTGTTCACTCAGGGAAAAGAAAACGTTTACTCGCGAAGTTTATAGAAGCGTGATTTAGAACGTGATTTTCACAGGCTCATGGGATTGTACTGCACTGTCATGTGCGGATGCAGCAAATTAAATTAAAGTAGCTCGGTTTACGAACATCTGCTTTATAAGAATCACCGCAAAAATACTTATGACAACGTCTATTACGAGATTTTTACAGCGTCCAGCCTAGCCAAAAATCCAATGCAAACGGGGTACACCGCTCCTTTTGAGTTCTGGGTTAAGACAGGTGATTATTACCTGGCAGTTCTTTTCTGGCAAGGGGGGTATCTAAACAGGTTAACCTCAAAGTAGTTCTGTTTCAACCCAAGTTTATGGCTGGAAATCGACAGACTGACAACTTGGACCCATCATTTTCCTGTCAAACTCCGTAGAGGTTATTACGAAATACTCGTAATTTTTTGGCGGATGACTGCCAGACATTTCGAAAGACGTACATGCTTTATCTCACAGGCGGGATCGTAAGATACCATTTTACATTGTTCCGGCCCAGTCTGCATCCGTGAGGTTGTGGAACTTAGATGCCATGCGATGAGAACGTAACATGCTGACTAATATCCTTTGCGAAGAGTCTGGACATTACCACGATGTGACGGTTTGTGTGTCTACCCGAGCTACTGAGCTACACTGGGAGGTGTCCACGCAAAACCTACACAGTCTATCACACTAGACTGTTCACTGGTTGGAGGTCTGACCAACACACTCTCCTCGTCCACCAACTTTTGGGTTTGAAAAATATGTGGCAACCTGCCCTCTAAAAATATAATGCACTGGCATGATGGTGATGATGACTGCCACTTCTAGATCAAAGCAGCAGTGAGGAAATGGTTGAATTCAAAATAGAAGTCTCAGGTGAAATGTCCGGTTAAAGTCTATATGGTTATTTGGTCGTCCGAACAGCACCCAGAAATTCCCCATGAAACAAAACCTACTGGTGATTCCTCCTGCGAATCAACGACGATCAGCGGTTACTTTCCCATACTTGTCCTGGCTACTCGTGAGTAGCACGACTATCCTGATTGCTTCGCCGCTTGTTCCAGTGGTGTTTTGCTACCGCCTAAAGCCTGCTTACGCTCTGGTTACTAAAGTCGAAATCTCGTCACCTGTCAACGCACTTCCGTCAACCTGATATTCTACTTGGTTTCAAGTAGGACATCCGGTTGACGGAAACTCAGGGAGTGCGCCTCCCCGATGATGAAGGGCGAAAACGGTCGTGGGTTGTCGGCGAATTTTCAGCAATCTTATCGGTAATGCGTTATACTTATACATGTATCGCGATATCACGAATACCGTAGCGACTAACACGCGAGGTGACCTAATGCAGCACATTCAGTTGCCCGGAAACATCACAAACGAAAGATTCAGCTGAAGTCAAGGCGAGTCTCTCGAAAAACCAAACTAGTTTGTAAATGAGTGTATTTCGCTTGATGTGGGTAGGTTGGTTTCAGTCAGATACCTGCAGTCATATGAATCAGTCAGTTTGTTGAGGGCTGGTGTGTTCTAGGTGTTTGGAACAGCACTTCCAGTGACGACAGCTCGGGGTTAGGGTGCATAATGCGGAATAAGTAGGACCCGCTATTATTTGGACTGTGAGTGATGTTTAACGGTGAGGACACAGGATAGACCTGTTGTGGGGCACTTTATTTTGTGGCTGGGGTAAACGGTGATTGCAACAGTCACACAACAATGAGTTGGGTGTACTTGAGCGGTGTTTACGAATTACTTAGGGAAAACGCTTGCAACTAGTGCGTGCAGTAGCACTTGATCGAGGCAAGATAATTCATCTTTGCGATACGATTTGTTCCCACAACTCGACGGAACGTGAAGCTCAACTCACTGATACTATGGGTTGCCTCGGTTACCGCTCTCTTCCACCATGTTGTGTATTTCATGACTTCAAAACCTTTGGATGTTGTAAGCTCTTCCTTTAAAACGACTGCTTCACGTTTACTGAGCCCAATATCTTAATTAAATGAACAGCTTAAGGAAAACCTAACCCAAGAATACTGAATAAGAATAAAATATATATTGTGCGTAATTTCGTTTTGTCGTACTGAAATCAATATTCTCCTTCGTTGAGGTTCCGGAAATGAATACACCTATCCCTAAGTATCTGCTTCTCAACGACCATCGTCTGAAATGACACACATCTTCTATCCTTCTGAACTGGGTGTCCAGGGTTTCTCTGTCATACTTCAGTTTATAAACGGGTAAAAATGTTCTTGAACTTGAGTAAACTCACACAAACTGAATTGTTAACATGAGAAATAGAGAATTTCCTCTGCGCTTTCTGTATAGCATAAAATTTACAATGGACCAATGGAGACGGATATGCATTTATTCGCTCACAGGTGAATTGCATTTGGGTGGGCCGACTGAGAGGGAACACAACACCCTCCGGTATATTTGGTACTTGAAAACATCTTTGGGCCCATCAAGACCTGTAATATCTCTGGTAACAAAACTGTCTCGCTGTTTCGAGTTGTCGTTGGCTGTCTTTTAGCTGGATGTCACTGGGGGAACGAAGTTTCTCGTCATTTATAAGACTAGTTTGTGAGACCCACTGAACAGGCTCTAAGCAGGTAGTTGGCCACTTTTCGAGAGACTGACCGGTCGAATGAGGCATTTGGCCTAGAACTTGGACAAACAGTCAGAGTCACACAACTACAAGCACCTTGTTGACTACCAGTTCTTTCCAATCTCACTATTTGATGATGAAGTGTTTAGATTTTGCATGATCCAGAAAAGGCGTGCTGATTAGCCACATAGATCAAGTTTTATTGTGAAATCGTGTTCTTTGAGCTGTGTAGATCCTCCCAAACAAAAGTCTACAACGTCGCCTTAGCAGCAAGTCTTCAGAAGTGAGTCCCCACACAAAAGATTTGTTCATACTATCCACCAGCTTGCGTAGGGCCCTCTTTGGCTATCTGGTTCGCAATGCTCCAAGTCGCCCACATCTCTACGCTTATCCGATATTGTTATAATAACTGCGCTGACCTTTTCCTCCTGTTTTAACTAAACGGTTGTGTGGAAAAAAAGGAAGAGATCGATGAAAACCCAACTAACCCAAGCGCGCTAACATTTCATCGAATTTGTGATCTTTCCAATATGGACAAGGATTCTGGAGGCGGAATTTCTAACGAAATCGTCCATAGGTCATTATGTCATCGAAGCACAACTGTTGATTGTAGTTCACCCCATCCTTCGGACAAAAAGACACATTTATGGTGTTTTTGCATAACTCTGAAATAACAAGTGACTTCTCAACTTCTGAAAGCATTTCATGAGTTTTGAACCATTTACAGAATCTTGAGTAGTCCAATGAAACAAGACGTCATTACGGAGAATGGCATTTCCAGAAAAAGGGCACTGGATTCTGTGTAGGCATTATTTAACCACGGACATAAAGTCGCCTCAGGGAATATACCTCGTTCTCCACCAATAGCCATGAATAACGATAGATACTTGGTGAGCCTTCAGTCGTCAACCTGAAGCGATGCTAGATTCATGGATCTTACTTATGCTACTGTCCTCCTCTTAGTAATTGGTTGAAAAGTTTGGAATCACCTATTATCACAATTGCACATGGAGCTTGGAGACAAACCAGGCACTTTAAACTTCGGCATAAATATCGCAAATCGGAGTCGTTTGGCAGAGAGCAGATTCTACTTTTAGCGTGATCACTTATTCTATATTTTGTGTGACAATTCTAACAACAAAACTTTCAACTGAAATTATAGGCAAATCTTCAATCTATGGACTAGTGTTCTAGAAAACAAAGGATATGAAAGGGAACGAAATATTTGAAAATAATGTCTTACTTTAGTCAGGATCCGTACGTCCGTCAATCTTTGAACTGCTTCTTTTAGACTGAAACTGTACTGGATAGCGTTGATATGTGCTGGTGGAGCTTCAGGTGTGGGCATCGAGGAACCAAATTCTTCCGTAAAGCAGTTGATGGAGTAGCGGCTGAGTGGCTTGCAGATATCATCCTCATAAGGCAAACCAATATAGGCATTTGCCTTATCCCTGTTTGGCGCTAAGTCTGAAGAGCGTGGATGGTTACCAAAATCATTTGTGAGCTTTTCATCATTGTATCCGTTAGAAGTATTCCACGCTGAAATGGGTGATCCATTCATCAGCTTTCCGTTGACCAGCCGATCAGATGAAAGAGTTGATTTTGCGTACAGGGAAGATTGTGTATCGTTGGGACTATTCACAGTGAGAGGATGTTGGAGCACTGAGGGTAGAAGCCTTAACATCGCTGCCATGTACATATTATCATAGGAAGACGGTGGAGGGAAAAGGTTTGGAGTTGTGCCTATCCCAGGCAAAGTGGCATCATTCTTGCAGTTGCTGTTTGAACCAGAATGTGAAGACGTTGGCATGGGTTTGCACAACAGGTTTATGTCGTACCGGTTCGTAGAGAATATATCCGGTTCAACATTCTCACCACACATATAGGGAGACTCTGTTTGTGATTTGACTGAGTTGAGAGATATGTCCTTTGGGGCCAGAGAGTTGGTATTAAAATGTGACTCCTGTGCGTCTGGGAGGGTATAATTGTTTTTCGAAGGGCTGATGGATGGTTTGCGTAAGGTAAGGTTCTTGGCGTGTTCCAAATGAATTTTCTGGAATACAGGAGGGTGAAAAGAACAGTGTGCCAGTCGGTTGAATACGAGGTGCAGAGGGTATGGAAACTGAAACAATTCTGCGTAACGGATCGAGATCAGTAATTAGACGACGTAAGTAGAACTATATCAGTAGGCCTGTGTTACCGAATTTGGTCCTCAAGACTGATATCTATGACCAGTAACGAACAATCGCGTGACAGATACCGGAGTTTCCACTTCTCACTTCCCCAAAGCTGAACTTTACTTAAATATGTTCGTGTCACCAGTGACCTAACGCTGACAGTTCCAAATGATCCCACCGTTAATGCGTTCCCAGGTGGCCTAAATGCAATCCATGCGGTTGAAACAATAATTGTAGGGTGACACTATTCCGTTTTCTCCAAATAACGTCAGACAACCCCCTGCTGTTTCACTCTCATTTGGAGTGACCACCAGTGCCTTTATCACGAATTTCAAGGCCACTCCAAACCTGCACTCATCAGGATAGTGACTCAGCTGTCAGTATGTGGACCACGGTCCGCGTTCACCAACCTTTTCTTGAATGACCACCATTCAAAAGGCACTAATGCTGTCTCGGATTTACAGAATGCTCGTTTCTGATTACTCGCCACAAAAAAATAGAAATTACCTAATCCGTTCTTGGTTTTTGAACTGATTTGCTTCACCCTTCTGGAAAAAATGACATAAAACTGCAAAATCATGCCAGTAACTACAAACCACTAATGGTGCACAGACTTCCGGCTAGCCGGCCATCGATCAAAAACCACCAGTTTGTTTACTGTATTTATCGCAGGTAACTTGTACGAACTAATTAACTGGAATTATGGTTGTATCTTACCTTCACAATTAGGTTTTCTACCATGTACTAATGCAGAAGCGTGCTGAAAAATTGGCATTCCACACCAAACTACACAGACAATTAGGCATAATCACTCACTTCCAATACAGGGACTTGTGCGCCCCCTGCTTTGTTTCATACTAGCCAGAAATACCGAATCATATCACGTTCAACCTTAAGCGCTGTAATTCAAATAGCACCAACTCCAACTGGCAGTAAAAAAACGGATTAGTCTTCGCTAGCAACAGCGAGGCTGAGTGTAGGAAAAAGTATCTTTCTAAGCATATTTTTTATACCAGAGTACGGAAGACTGAAAAGATTTAGTATGAAATCGTGCATCAGGTTTTGAAAATTATGCGGGATGGACTCAATGCACAAGTGATTACTGCGTCGTGGTTTTCTGGTCTGACTTCAATTTGAACCCTGCTTCTATTGTCCGAAATTGAACCACATTAGATTTTTTTCACTTTTGAGTATAATGAACGGTTAACCTTCTTGAGTGTCTCAGGTACAAGAAATACAAACAAATGATGTAAAATAATGTCAAAAGCCTGAGGTGATAATTTAATGGTTAATGGTGAGGAACCCCTAAGTGAATGTATTTTTCCAGGAAAAGGGTATAAAAATTTGGTACAAGTCAGCAACATCAAGTGATACTTCCTCGTGGAACACACCAAACATTTAGTCGAGGGACTGAAGTGGGGAACAAGCTTACTTACACGTTTTAGTTGATTCACTTCTTCGCACACCAGACTGAGAGCATTTGCTACCAGATGTCGCGCTTCGATCGATAGGCCATTCATGGGAGGCTCTTTCATATTTATATGACCCTTGTTTTTCTTGGAATTGCGCCGACAGGCTTTCAGGTACGCACGAATGCGATTACGGTGCCGCTTTAGTTCCAGTTGAGGCCAAGCTTTTGCACAAATATGCTCAAGGGCAATGATTGCCTGACGGGGCTGCTCACAAAAGGTAATTGTTCTGTCTAGTGTATCATCCACAACGCGGCGCACAAAGCTCTGTGAAAAAAAACAGAAGATCTATCACAAAGTTATTATTTTTCAGGGGGGTAATCTATAGGAATCCACTCTTCCCAAATGGGTACTGTTTGCCGCTCGCAAAATGAAAATGAGTGAAAAAATACTGAGATGATCATTTCTTCGATGGATCTCTAATATGATCTTTCTTCCCTTCTCATTTCATTCGTCCTCTCATCTACTCAATGAGTGATCAATAAGCACTTTGTGCACTAATTGTCGTACGCATTTATCCATTCAATCTTCTGTTCATTCACTCACGCCTTAACTCACTTATTTTATCTGATAAATAATGATTTGGTTTATTCACTCATCTGTCTTTTACCTCTCTACTTCTTGGGTCGTCCAACCACTAAGACTATCGGTTTATGCACCAGACTAACCACTGTTTTTTTTCAGGTGTTCCTTTAACAGTAAATTCATTTATTTACTCATCCATTCAGTGGATTGTGAATTTATCGGCCCCTTCAGTGAGGCATCATGATTCGTGCAAAACGAGAAAACTCCAAGTTGCTCCCTCTCTCAGGGATTTTTGAAGGTTAAAAATTAACGATTGGGAAAGGTATTTCCGACACAGCTGTTAAAATTGCCTGTTTTCAGTTTCTGAACAAAAACAAACTGGTTAGGTAACTCTTCCTTCAACTGGTATCTCAACCAAAGTAGGACAAATTGGTAATAATAGTGGTGTACAATCGGAACCGTGTTGATTCCGAGTGAATCCATAACGAAACGGTGCGGGAAAGCAATAACATATGGCTAAATTAAGAACGCTTCACTTACATTATATGCTGCGGTCAGCAGTTCAGACCCCAAGGTGGTTCCTTTGTCCTTCCCATCAAAGTCATTGTGCTGATCATTGTGATTTTTTCTTTCGTCTGGGTTTCCACGTTTTCTATTTGGAACGATTTTGCAGTGATTGTCTTGTAATATGCGGACACTGTTCACTGAAAACTGACCATTTACTGGGGAAGTATCTCTAGTAACGGAGTTGTCTTTATCATCCATGCCACTTGAATGTTGAACGGACAAACCGCAGCTACAATTATTCCGTATACTACCCTTTCTTTCAAAATGGGCTTGAGTTTTGTCACTCTGTTATAAAGTAAGAATGGACACAGTCATTTGATAACTTTTTATAATGCATCATATATAAAACGATCTGGTGAGCCAACTCTACTAAAAACTTCCTTCCAAAACACTTTAAACATCAATTAATCCTGACATCTAAAGTTCTGTTTGTGCGAAAATGCTAAAGGGACGCCAAAAGTTTCATAAATCCTAAGGGGGGCTTTGAGAATATGGACGTCAACTTATTTGACCAGCAGTCTGTTTCCTAGTTAAATTAGGTCTGTGATTAACACGTAGCAAAGTCAAGTAAGTCCTCATTCGGGGACACAGTTTATTTTATTTTGATGCCTTTTGGTTTATCGGGTTAACCTGCGTGGCCGCAAGATATTTTGCGCCTGCGTTCAGGTTTACCGACCAAATATTAAGACGACGGAAAGATAAGTCGCGCCCTCTCGTCAGAGCTATGCATGGCAAATGGCTCTACAGTAAGATTTCCAACTGAATATGACTGGAATCACTGGCATACTCAAGTATCAAAGGTGTATACAAAGGAAAGGTGTTCCTCACCATTCTCTTTTATCCACATTTCTATACTGTGCCTTTCAAATTAGTTATAAGTGCAAGACCGCAAGCCATTGATTTTGTACGTTGATGATCTGACATCAATGGTGATGATGAGGATGGTGAGAAAATGGCATGGTCCGAGGAAAAACTAAAGGTGATGGTTATTCAGACCAAATGAACTGGAACCAGTGGGTTCATTTCGGTGTCAAGCAGAATTGGATAGGTTCCACAACTTGGTGGCATCCATGGAAGCGAAGCACTACAACTTGTAAATTCCCTTTTCTTTAAAGCATATGTTTTTATAAAGTCAGCATTGAACCCTTGATGTGTTATGCGTTATTTGTCTTATGGTTCACACATGAATGTCCCTATCGATTTATAAGGCGAGGGTACAGAGGGTCAAATTGGACAACTGGTCAGTTTCCTATTCCCTAAATAAGCGTTCAGACTGTAATTTTTCTTCTGAAAAGTGCAGAACAACAAAAATAACCAAGTGACACCTTTTAGCCAAATAACGGAACTAAAATTACGTATGGAGCGTGTCATATTGATTGGTGTTAACAAGGATGTGAAGTGATCTTGAACGAACCATGAAAATTGGACTCATTGAGGACCTCTTATAAGAAAGTGGCTGGACACAACTATAAATAACCCTTTATTCTTATGAAAGCTTCTTGATGGAAAACTCCTTTGAGGAGGCAATTCTTGTTGAATTCAGCTACGTTTAAAGTTACATTTTGCTATAGGAAAAAACTATTTTTACACCTCAAGCATTTGGCCACCTTTTATTTTATGACTATACTTCACAAGAGTAGTACTCATTGTTGTTGACCTTTGACTGACGGCTTCTTTCTATTCGGCAACATAAAAAAATTCGATCAACGGTCTAGAATGTCGAATTTCTGCAGCACACGAGCCGGAGTTTGGAAGGGGTGAAGGAACGCTGTTAGAAAAGATGAAATAAGGCAAACCATCTCAGTTTTTTGTTTTGGTTCCCTTTTGAGTGTGAATGGGTGAAATGATGCTGGTCGCAAGCTATTATCCGAAAAAATATTATCTACGATTGTCACAGTGATGAACTGGAGCAGACCGCTGTTGTAAATAGAAGAGGTTTTCACTCTGTTGGAAATGCGCTATAGCGCTTCACTGGCAGAAGCCATGCAAGTCACCCATAGTCAACCAACCGTTTGTTGTCAGAGTACACAGGCGTCATTTCAGCTATTTCCACCTAATGGCAACACCCCAACTAAGGACCAGTTTTGCTATCGCCTCGTAAGGAGTTCCAAAGACAGGGGATATGAAAATTTCACTGCGTCCTATAATTACCATTGACTTATCTCTTTTTGAATGTATGTCCCTTCTATCAGCTTTCTACATTGTTACAGGTAACACCCGGACAGCAACGGTCATTACCTGGCCGGTACCAGCAAGCAGTTGTGGCGTCTAACCCTATGGATGGACGGCCAGGTAATTTCCGCAACTCATGGGTGGACTTAGCACAACTGCCTCAAACATTTTGGTTGATATTTTCTTAATTGTGGTATAAGATATTTTAGATTGCGAATAACTTCTCACTGTTCTGGCACCACAAAACGTTGAAGTTAACAAGTGAACCATTTTTACGCACTGGGGGATTTGTCCGCCTATGGCTGCTGGCTTCCTCGCTTGAGTCATCAGGTTCGACCGTTTGATGGGAAAGAGGTTCCATTGAGACTGTTGATGCTGATTCATCACTGGAGTCACAAGTGCGTCGCTTTTTTGTTGAACTGCCCTTGCAGTCATATGCTTGCGTTGAGCTAATATTAGGTTGGCTACCACTATGCTGATATTCATTGTTTCTCGTGCAACCATTTGAACGCATTTCTTCGTGTATTCGCTTCTTGTAGTAGGCCGTTACCTAAATTGGGGTGGAAGTGCAAAACGCCAGTAAGCATGCGAAAAAGCAATTGGTACATTGAGCTGCTTCTCAGAGTAAAGAGTAACTTAGCCCAAACATCAGAAGCTTGTAAATAATAGTCACATAAATAGTCACAATTTTCTGCCTGACCAATTAATGATTACTGAGCCACGGACTGAGATATAGCCGGGTGTTATTTAAAGATGAGGTTATACACGGAAATTCCCTGCTTCACAAGTGGCTCCGTCCTTGTTGACGTGGATCAGGAGCTTCATAGCCTTTTGGAATCTCCACGGATACGAACGATCAGTCTAATATTGGCCATCAGCTAGGTGGTTGCCAAACATACTCAACAGTTGGTTTACCTTTAGTTTCACTCCAACTGGGAGCGGTTTGGTCCAGGAAACCTGCTAACGAGCTTTATAAATCCGATCGTCTACCAATACCTAATGAGACTCGACGAGAAAAGAAATACTAGTGTGTCGTAGCCATTTCGACATCTGACCGTATCCTAGTAGAACCAAATTATGTTGGAAGAATGCGGTTAACAAGATAGTTATTTTATTCTTGTTGATAGCAATTATCCACGAGTCACGGAATGGTAGGAAGGCTATAGCTCACTTCTACCTAATTCTTACATATATATTAAGCGGATCATTCGTATTCTCATATTTTTCAATCCTATCAATGCATTTGGCGAGACATACTAATTGATTTAAAACCAAAGGCATGTCTCCAGAGTCTCTCACCGCTGTGGAATATTTCTAACTTACTGTGTTTCTGGGTTGGTCGACCTCGGGAGTCATTGCGAACGGCAGCTCCGTAGAAAAATCGCCGTTAGCAGTCTGGAAACTTTCTTTGGTCATAGTAGAAAGATCAGATAAAACTCCTTCTGTTCCAGAATAATTGTTTGCTAATGTCCAGAAGGAAGATTCCTGAAAAACCAAGAACAAGTTTTTGTGTAGGACGAAAAAATGCTTTAGACGTGGAGATTGGATAGGCCAATAGATGTGTGCAGTTGACTAAGATTTCTTTATATCTTCCTCCAAGTTTCTTACGATTTTATAAGAAAGATTCAGGCAAACTTCGTATTTACAAATGCATATAGTTTGAGATAAGTTATCAGCATCTGTTGTGAGGTGAACTGGGACTTCGCGTCTTTCCAAGGTTATTTGGCTGATAGTTGCCCAGACATTATCCAAAGATTCTTCTCGGTTATTTAAAAGCTCCGTTTCTTTTTCATCGTTTCTTCCGTACGTTTGCCTGAGGGACAGGACTTAGAATGTGGGTTGAAAAGCCCATGTGGTTTTTTTACGCACACAGACATTAAGGAAACCAACTGAGGATTAGAATATGCAACAACTGCTTTGCTAATCAAGACAGTCGGCTACGATAGTGAAGGCCAATTTTTTGAGCATTTCGTTTGTAGGGGACGCAGTGAAGTCTTGATCCACTCAAAAAATGCTGCGCTAGAAAAAAATCGACCACAAATCCCAAAATATTACCGTGGTTTAGGCTAATTATAGTTACAGTGTGCTGTTTGTGTTTTGCTGTTTTTGGAACACCAACAAGATAACTTTCTCTTTATAACCAGTCAGTATTCCTTCAAATTTTGATCGATCATTCATTCCACGATATGCAAACTAATCGGTTTCATACAATTACAAGTTCTTCTAAGCAAAAAGAGGTTTTTCTAAGGCAGAGACTATCAGAAAAATGCGGTGAACTTTTGTTCTGTGAGCGACCTACAATGGTATTTCACAGCGATGGCCTTGGCTATGCCGAATAACTTCAGGGGAGACTAACAGTAGGATAACGCATCTTCTACTACCGGCATGCAAATCTCTACAGCCGGACTCGGGAGAAAAGTTCCCACGTAATGATTTACGAACAGATGGCATAACAGACGAAATACCCAGAGACCCTTTGGATGAGAAAATTCCGGCCTCGTTGCCCCGTCCCTCAAAAAACTACTACAATTAACTTTTGACAATTTGCAATCCTTTTTTTCTAGACGATTTTTTTTACATAACAAACCTCAAATTACGCTATCGAATCCAAGTCTTTTTCCTATGACTCAGAGCGTGCTGCTGCTACTGTAGCTGCTTTTAGACGAAGTCCATTTTAGTTTATCGAGCATTGCAATAAGCCTGTCCCAGGTATGACCTCGAATAACGCCTCTAATTAAGCGTCTAAAAGCGTAAGTGAATCACACAGTTTGTGGATATTACTATATTAGGACGTGGGACAAGTTGATCGTAGGTAATACAAGCTAGGTGGCGCAAGTTTTCGCGATGAATCAACCAGCTACAGGATATAAGGCACAAATTCTGACCTAGGTGACCAAAATCGGCCAAACTTAGGCCAGCACACACTCGGTGAACCTGAGTTATCACAATCGAACTACACAAATAGGAGCACGTTCGCTTGTTCCCATGTGATAAGAAGTTAATGCTAGCTTCCGCCATCTCATGACTATATACATATGGCGATGTGACCACTGCTTGTTAACGACCACACAAGAAGACAATAGTATGTCAACCAGTAGTCAGACACGTAGGCCTCTTCAGAAACATACTGAATGCTCTCAATCATCTTCCGAATAATACCTCGCAAGCAACTGCAACAAATTCTCCATACGTGATGCGGTCAGTAGACAAGCCATTTCATGGGGATAAGAACAATTTCAACAAACCAGTGAAATGAAATGAATTAGGCAGGTGGTATTTGTGAATAAGATCGAAAAAAAGTGCTCCTGTATTCTACAGATAAAGAAATACGTGTCACGTATGTACTGTCGATACCTGTATATATATGAACAAAATTTTTGAAAAATTAGAAAAATGGGATAATAAATATATGAAGCAAAAGTTTAATTAAACCGAAATTGAAAGTAAATGAATATAACAAAAGTAAAAATGAAATACTAATATAAAAAGGTGACAGTATAATACCGCAAACTATAGGAGGATATTGTCTATCTTAACCAAACTCAACTGGGGCCCACAGTCTCATTAACTTGAGTTGGGACGAGTTTTTTCTTTACCATTCCTAGCGCTTCTGTTGTGCAATTTTTCTCGATGCTGTTGTCATCTTATTGATTTTGTTTTCTGTAATAAATATTTTTGCAACCTCCGAAATAACCTCACCCTTCTGGTTGGACAAAAGGTCTTTTAAGCAGGGAATTTCTGAGGATAAAATACACCCTCAGTATCTATATCAGCCCTGTCTAACTAGCAAGTTAGATATGCTGTAGATAACTTTGATACAGATACCATGATTTTGCGGCCAAAAATACACTGATGTAACTTCAGTTGGTGAAGTACATTATATCTCCTGAAACCGTGTTGGAATCATCAAATGCCTGAATAATTTTTTTGATTATTGAAATGAGGTTCCCTTTTGCGATTACAAACAAAAGGTTCAATTATCGTCTTAAAAAGAAACTTCCGTTTAGCTCACTGTGTTTGTATCGAGTCTCTGTCTCTTTTCCACTAGTCAAGCGTCCACAATTCTTCTGCTGGTAAAGCCATCCGAATCATAAATTTTCTCATCCGAATGAGAATGTCATCTCACTTATTGGTTATATCAAAACGACGTTCTGCATACAGGATTTAGTCGAAGCTGCACTGTTCACTTAAACAAAGAGATTTCTTCAAAATACACTAAACAGGAGATTTTGTTTGGCGGAACCTGATGCTAAATTGGAGAAACCTGTCCTTCTAGACCACAGGTTTTAATTCTAAGGATGCAATTTTATGATTAGATTTACTTAGGATTATTTTAAATATTCACCTACTTCTTGACTTCCTCAGTCATCTGGACAGTCACCCGTCTGATATAAATTCTGCTAAGTAAGGAAGCTGCCATCAATCTTTCCACCGTATTGATAATTTTCCCCTAGTGTAATGGGAACCGACGTCGGTTGCAGATTGTGACAATAATTAAGTAATATGATGAGTTGTTTAGGTCAAAACTATTTTTAAAGATAATTGCTTACTTGGATTTTTAACAACAGAAAAAATTTTTCCCTCATAAGTTGTATTCAAAATTCTTCTAATTTAGAACCCCAGTGTCATCAAAGACGCTGGAGGCTCCAGATTTGTGTGATGTCACCATTAAATGCAGTTGATTCTGAAACACCTAAAACTGCTCACAAATATATCAACAGGTGGTCGTATGGTAGTGTCTGCGCAAAGTATGGTGTTAAGTACAGGTAAATGAACACTCTTGTCAAAGCCATTGCTACAAGTACTGAAAGGTTTTTAGCCTTCTCAATTACAGCGCACACAACTTTCTTCGCTTGAAGGTAGAGATGATTCTGAATATCTAGAGATTGCATATTCAGAGGATAAACAGTAGTGCGATTGACACAAAACTGCATTAAGCTATGAAGTTGGATGTTTTAACATAAGGGGTAGAAGGAACGCGTCGCAAATCACCACCGGCAAGAAGCAAAGAGTTATAAACCTTCCACGCACACTTCATGGAATCCACTATCCTTGCGTTGCTGAGATCTCCTCGGAAGCCGACGAGCGGCTCCCTCGTTGGCACGCGAAACTTGACTGAATTTTAACAAGACCCCCAAATGAATCTCTTGTGTGTGTTGTTACTTACCTATATTTGGTGTACAAATGCTGCTTCGTCTTTCATTTATCACGGTACTCAAAACGTTGCGGCAAATCTTGTTTATACAAAGCTACCAACAAAGCTGATGGACGTTAACTGCCGGTATCACCCTATCTTGAGTTAATCAGGAATTTACAATCTCCTGTTTACTACTTAGGCACGTATTTTTAAGTAAGTGGTGCTACACACTCATCCGCAAACCAACTTGGTGTTAGCTCAGGTTCCAAAATACAAAAGCCGGTGTTGAGCTGTGAAAAAGCTTTCGGCATTTCTGTGGCTAGTCATGTTGTAAGGAAATTACACCCCATATCCTGACAACAGGAACCTAAACCTGCCCTAATATGGCACGCACAGTTGATGACTACTATAAA